TAAGTTTTGCTGCAGAGTTGTGTCTCTTACAGTAAATGCTGCAGCTGCAACCACGCTTCAAGGTAACTCTGGTGGACTCTCCTGAACTACTGACCTTTCAGACCTTAATGCCTCTTCAATCAAAACCCTTTTTCCCTGCCAAAATCCACACAAGTCTCAGGTGTGTTGTAAGGTGCCTTGTCACCATCTCTGCTCATACTTGCTCCAGTTTGGATCAGCTGAGACCTGTGGCTTTGCCACTGCTGGGTGTGATGAGAAGAGCCTTTCTTCATTTGGGGACTTTCAGTGGGGTTTAGAAGAATAAAAGTGTTTTAATTTCTGTCTGGTGAAGCCTGCTGTGGTGATAGGGGTGGAGGCAGCAAAATGCTTCATTCTGGGGTTGATTTCTGGCTGAAATAAATCACCTTGTTGAAGCTGATTGCCACAGGACATGTTGGGTTCATTCAGCCACACTTACTCCACACATACCCTGCTTGTAAAAGCTCAGCAGTGTTGAGTTCAGGACTTGAATAATGGTGTAAATTCCTGCCCTTTTAAAATTTTATGGAAACTATTGACTGTTGCCCATCTTCCTGCGTGCCTGAGTGCCGCAGGGGATGCACTTCACTGTCACTCAGGAGAATCCGTGCTGGTTCCCTGCCAACTGCAACAGCTTTATTTATTCATTGGCAGTAACTTTTACACAAGTTACTGATCTGTTTGCTGCTCTGGCCATTCTGAATATGAAAATTTTATATGGCTTTTTGTTTTAAAGAGTTTCTAAGCACGGCAACTGATATTTTATGTGCTGAAAGCAGCGAACAAAGTTGGGTGTTCCGAAACGAAGTCAATTAATTATTTAATTAGTTTAACACATTAGTTAATGATGTGCATATTCTGTTCTCAGAATTAAGAATACTATAAAGCACTGGCAGACTTCAACCCTTAATCTAGTAAACTATTCAGCAGTGACATAACAGTTGTTGCAATAACTTCAGTAATGCTGATGATACCTCAGTGTTCTTAACATGGGATGAACTCTGCCCTGCTTACTCAGTAGATAGAACAGGGCATTTGGAAAAATGCTCTTTTAAAGTGGCTCTGCAGCTTCCCTGGCTCTGGAGGGAGTCCTGCAATGCCAAACCAGAAATTTCATCTGTATACAAGAACGGGATTAACTTTTTCAGTTAACCTAGATTTGAATTAATTTTCAGTTTCCCTTATATTCTTTCAGAGCTCATAAACATGTATTAAATAGGTTGTAGTCATAAGCTCACAAAATGTTAAATTGCTAGTAAATGGTGAATGAATAGTTGAGGTTAGAAATAAACATTACTAAAATCAATTATAAGATTAAAATACCCTTTCTATGTTTTCAGACAAGCAGGGGCCTGCAGAGGGGCTTAAGGGGGCAACTCATAGTGTGTGTAACATTCACTGATACATCAGAGCTCTCTTTTCCTCTGGGCTTTCAACTTTGCCTTTGCTTTTGTGAGCACTGGATGAATGCATGGAAAAATGTTTTGCGCTGTTACCCTGGGAGAAGGATGAATACGTCATCTTTCCCTCACATTAGCAGGTTTTACGGCCCTGTCCAAGGTACAGAATGGAAAGAAAAAGGGGTTCAGCCCTTGTGATTCAGCAGGAAAATAAACTACTGGGGTTCCAAAGGTGATGGGCTCCACCTTCCAGGTATTTCTCTTTAGGACAGGTACTTTGGGCCACCTGAGCCCTCACTACCTGTAAGGCTGCATCAGGCAAATGAGGGACCTTGTAACTCCCATTTCCAATCTGAGATAAACAATTCACCATTCCAGGGGAAAAGACTAGCAAAATTGGCACAGCAAAATAATTCAATTCAGCTTCAAGGCTGGGCAGTTCTGGTAACCCTCCAGCCCCCATGGGAATTTGGACTCGACTGGCACATTTGGGGTACCCACAAAGACAAAACCGGACTCTCTCAACCGACAAAAGATCAGGGGACAAACCATAGGGACATTTTCAGGCACATTTCGTAGCAATGAATGAATTTAGAATTCAGCCTCGCCTCCCGTGGTTATCCCGGGAAGCGTGACACGTTCTGCACAAGCAGTGGCCGCTCTTTCCTCGCCCCGCTGTCCCTGGCAGCTGCCCGGGGTGCCACCACCGCCGTGTCCCCACGGCTGCTCCAGAGGCACCCCCAGTCTGAGCTCTGCAAGTGGCACGCAGAGGAAACACCACTCTGTATCTCAGCACGTTTTAAGCAACAAATTTCACCGTTTCTCATCTTAGTTCTGAGCTCTCAGCTGTGAAATCCGGAGTTTTGGTGAACTGAACGTGTTGCTGTACTCAGTGTTTGCGGAAAGTAAATACTGCAGACTTCTGACATTTGCTTAGGGTTTTGAAAAGGTGACAGTGAGAGCAAGGCAGAAGCTCTGGACAGCAGCACTAGGCAGGAATGCCTCTTTCTTCTGCTGGGATTAGAGCGAAAATAGACCCACAGAACAAAGTTTTACAAAGTTCCAACCAGCAGTGTGACTACTGCCATGCTTCCTTTGTGGAAGGAACGCTGTAAACGTTCTTCAAACAAAACCCCCTCAAACCAACTTCATTGTGAAAGACTGAAAAATTTTCAATGCATATTCTAAAATGTGGAATTTAATTAATAATAATAATTTTTTAAATTGTCAAGAAAAAGAGGGGGGACAGTCAAGACTCCAGAATGATTTCTAACCATACTATAAGCCCCCCACTGGTTGCATATGCAGAAGCTGGAGTGAAAAACAAAAAAAATAAATTTTGTAGATTTTTTTTTTTCAAAATGCAAGGTCATTGAAGGATTTAAAGGCACTCTGGTGGTTTTTCATTATGAAGATCAGCTTTAATAGTTTAAAAAATGGGACTTCCTGGAGTATGCCTGCTCCAGTTAAGACAGCAAAGGGAATTGGGCTGAAACTGAGCTACCCGCAAATTAATTGTGAACCCCCGAATTTCCCTGTGGATCCAAGTTTAACTTTCCAGATCCACTCTGGAAGATTCAAAAGAGAAAAAGTTTTTGCTCCTTCTACTGAAATATGTCTGAGAACCTCCTAAATTGCCTCCCACAGCACAGCTTGGATGCCAGAGCACAGCCAGCCCAGCTTAGTGCTTTGCTGGGTGGGATAAGCAGGCCCTGATGAGGAAAAAATGTATGGAATGAAGTTGCAACATTTTTAGCTTTTTTAGTCAAGGCAAGATGCCTGTGAATGCTGGGCAAATCCTGAAATGCCAAAAATCCTCCAGCTTCCCCAAACCTACTTTATTAACACTTCTACAGACACTTCTGCATCTTCAGAGCTCAGTGCCTCACTTCTAACATTGAACAGCTCAAAATTAGTTTCGCCACTAATTTATAACTCATCTTCCTCACAGAACTAATGGATAAGTTATTTTGTGTATTTTACTGTAACTTGTGCTGGAAAATTAGTCTTCTAAAGTGTCCCTTCCAGCACAGAGATTGCAGAGCTGGACAGAGCACTGTGGGTAGCACCCAGCCCTCCCCACTGAGCTGTGCTGCTCTGAATGCTTTTAAGTTCAGATCTTTCGGCGTGGCTAAAATCAATGCAAGTGTATGAAAGCCTACACCACTGAAAGCTTCAAAAATATTTTCTTAAAACACTGAACTGCAGCACACCCTGGCAAGGCAGTGTTTTCTGCTGCCACAGGCAGAGGCTCAGCTCTGTGCTGCAGCATCCTCAGGAATGAGTCACTCCAAGAGCTGATGGCACGGGGGTCACACCACCGGTTTCTGTGCAGTTCCTAGACCTGTGCTTTTCACACTGCGGTCAGCAGGCTCCATGACAAAGGCAAGTCTGTAAGCAGCAGCCAGTGCAGTCTCATCAGTGAAAGTTATGCATCAATCTAGATTATATGTTTTTTCCCCTTAAAATGGAGGGAACTTGATGTAATTCTTAAAATGGCACATAAACAGATTTGTTTCTATTTAAATGCCTAAAAATGAGGGTAAGTGGCAATTCTGCCTCCATTCAAACATTAAAAGTTCATTGCAGAAGGGTTAGGATCTTATTTTAGAGGTCTATAACAAGAGGATGAAAGCCTCTAAACCTGAAGCTGCTGGTTTTATTTGTACAAGCAGCCTTTTGCTAGCCCAGAGTGGCAGGGCATTGGTCCAGCCTGACAAGGACACAGGTCTGAAAAGTCACTGCTATGTGTGTCAAGGACACTTGTATGTGACACTTGCTTTGAGGCACAGCAGCCCCTGAAGGGACACTGAGAACTGCAGGGGCTGGGAGCAGCTGACAGAGCACCAGAGACAAAGCCCAGAGGACACAGCTCAATGCTAAATCCCTGTGTCACCTGCTCCCAACAGGAATCCCCCTCCCCATCGGCTGGAAAAGGCCCTCTGGGCCATCCCTGCTTTGGTTACAAAGGGGATGTGAGGCTGCAGTGCTTTTCAGTGAAAACTCAGAGCCAGAGCAAAGCTGCAGCTTGGGTAGCTGAAGTAGAGAAAACCTATGGATTGTGGTAAATGAGTGTAACATTATTAGAAGATTCCAAATTCCAGACTCAGGCTCCCAAGCTGGAAGGATGAGATGCTGTGTAAGACAACAACCACTAAACAATAGAGCAGCAAACACCATCAAGACCCCCAGATCTTCTTATTACTAATAGTCTGAATTATTACTGTTAGAGGCATAACTGCCCAGGAATTTCAGTGTTCACAGTCCCTCTTTGGAGGCACCCAGCTCAAGCTGTGGTGCTTTCCTAAAGGAATCCATCCTTCAGGGTATGTGGAAACCTCATGTGGAACCCTGTTATGGGGCCTGGCATATGTAATTTCTGTACAGGTATTTATTATTTCTAGGGATAAAGGATGGGGGGAGAGGGGGCATGTGGAGAAGGAAAAAAGATACAAATGCCTAGGGAAAATGCTATGTCTTTGTGAGTGAAAGACCAAAGAAAAGGTGGCAGGGTGCCACAGATTTTTTTTTATGCTTTGTTTTTAAAACAGTCACATACCAACGGCTCCAAAATATAACTGGTTTAAATGCAAAACTGTGGCTTTTATTTCCAAACATACAATAAATAGGTCCACCACAACTAGCCTCTAACTTCATTTTACATGGAAGGATTTTAAAGTTAATTTGTGCATATTTAAAAATTAAACTTCCCTTTGCACATAATTCCAAACATAACCGAACTGCATTACACACCAGCTCATGGTCTTGGCACTGTGACACAAGCAACCAATTAGAAACAGAGCTCTGTAGCCAACACTTGTACAAAAATTGCATTTTGAATTGTTGATAAAAGATCTACCAACAATTAAATCTTTTGCTGCAGTATACAAAAAACTTTAGTACATAAATGTCGAAAAGCAAGTTGTCTTCTCTCCTGTTTCTGTAGAGACTGCAAAGTAAGTGGATTTATTAAGTGTTCACTATTTGCTATATGATACAATTTTCATACCAAAATATCTTTACTGCATAGTAACATTCCATATTTTCAAATGCAAAAAGATTAGATGCAGTCTTTTTATTTTATCCCTCATCACTGAATTTAAAGACATTTTTAACCGCATCTCTGTTTCATCACAGTGCAGAAGGCCCTTAATATTTCAAGGATTTATTCAGTCATATTTTTAATACAAAAGTAGAGGCTGAGGAAAAGCCAGAGTAGTCTATACACAATGCACAGTCTGTGTACATTCTGAAGCTGTACCTCTTCAATAACTAGCTATACACTCTTCAAACAAATCCCTTTATCCAGCAATTCAAAATGCTTTAGATCAGAAATTTTATATTAGAATCAATACAATATATGCATATAAATACATTTACACCCTTCAGTTGCTAAACAACCCAGATGGCTGCGAGGATGTGACCTGAAATGGTTCTCCATTGGCCTGGGATACCAAATTATGTCGGCAGCTAACTGTTAACCAAGAGAGTCACAGTAAAAAATGGAGATCTCTGCACAAGGTAGGTGTGCCACAGCATCAGTTAAGACTAGAAATACCAGGTGACACCCTGGCCCCTTCAACAGGGCCAGGATTTCAACTTCTGTGAGATGCAACACACAGGCAACATTTTTTCCCTCTGCTGACACTCCGTTCATAAAAAGTCTCAGCAGAACAACAAAAATCCAAAAAAAATACAACAAACCAAAGCAAAGGTTTTACAACTGCAAGTTTCCAAGACAGGTGCTGCAGCTTTCAAGGACAAAGTAAAAGTTTTATAATTAAAAAAAGAAGGGAAAAAAAAAAAAAAGCAAAATCCAAACCAAAATAAGCAGTGTGCAAGTGTGAAACTCAGAAGACGACAGCAGGGATCAATCGAGACCTCGGTTCAGGCTGAAACACAGAACCCAAACTGCCTGATGGAAAACCAGTTCTCACTGCAAATCTCATCTCCAGCTGAGCAGGATGTTTGTGTATCTGCATAAAAACACCCCTGCCCCACCCAGGACAGCCGGGGCAGCAGCTCCAGGGTGGCCCCAGCCCCAGGGAGGGACAGAGCCACCAGCACTGGGTCCCCGCAGCCCCACGGGTGCTCCGGGGCTGTCACAGCAGAGGGTGATGAGTTCTCAGTGCTCTCAGCTGGGCTTCTGAAAGGATGCAGAAATGGTGGCTGAGTATCCTCCAAAGGTGCTAGAGGTTTTAAGTTTGAAGCGTTTCTTCCCACAATGCCAGGTATACAAATGTGTATCTCTTTAAATAATATTGCACATAAAAATCATCTCAAAATTTGTAGTGAAAACAGGGTTGAAGGACAGTGTTTTCCAAAAGAGAATAAAAAGCTACCTGTACATAGTAAATTTTAATTTAAAGAACGCCAAGATTATTCAAAATCTAAGCACATAATACTGACAGAAAAATGTTAAATTGCACAATCTACATATAAATTAATTTGTAAATACTTAAAAGTTTTTAAACATTGAATACCCTTGATTTCACAAATCAGCTAGGTCACTGCCAAAGGATCAACTTAATGAGTTAGAAGTACTTTCCCCCAGAAAGAAACAGAAACAAGAAGATTTGCAGTCTCAGATGAAGCACTGGAAAGAGTTAAAGCATTTCAGCTCAGAGGTAGTGCTAAACACATCCAACTAGAAGTCCATTATATTTGAACTATGATGAAATAACGTAGTAAAATGTAGAAAGACTATAAAATTTACAAAAATAAATAGTTCTGAACGCTTTAGAAAATGCAAGAGACTTTGTTGGTAAGTGTCTTGATCTGCTTTTCTGACCAAAAGAAAGCAAAGCGTGTCTCATTTTTAAAATATACCCATCTCTAAGAACGTGTCTGCAATCCGCACAATCTAACTCTGCAACTTGACAGATGCCAGCTTGGCATAGACTCTGATATTAAAAATAAAATGGAGGCTTTTTAAAAGATCACCTCATATGAAATTTGCTTTGCATGTAAATTCTTCTGTCAAATTAAAAATTGCACATAAAAAAGTTTATTGAAAGAGGCATGAGGGGTGATGAGGGTATGTGCCCATTGTTCCACATACACCCTGGAAGGAAAATGATGATTGCACAGTTCTGATAAATAATTTTTCTTTTTTAAAATCTGCCACTTTTTTGGTTTGTAAGTTTTGGAATTATTCAGAAAATTCTACTATGGACAAATTATTATTTAGTTTGCTTTTTAAAGAATTCTTTACAACTATTCCAGTGGGTTTTATCCTGAAACCAAATGCAAGTGGCAGTCTAAAAGTATCTTTGGGTAAAACAAGTATCAGGATCCAACGAGAATTTCCATGATGTGGTCCAACTCACTCAGATCTGTTCTACATATCTGAATGTTGTTTGCTGAAGAAGAATTACAAGATGGGAAGGTTTTCAATGGTTCCTCTGTAGCAAGAGATGGTGATCTGGGCGGCATCAGGGGAGGGCAACAGAAGTCTGAATCATACATTGAAGTGTCAATATCTTCAAAAATGTCATCTATTGCCAAGTCCTTCAAGTAACTGGTTGAATTTGAAATCTCAAAGGAACCAAACACACATTCAGCTCCCTTCAAATCCTGTCTGTCATCTTCTAGTTTCAGACCAGTATTTTCTGGAAACTTTGGCTGGTCATCTCCAGTAGGAACCAGACAAGTAGGTGGGCTGATATCTTCTACAAAGTCTAAATCCTTCAGAATAGACGAAATAGCAGATGACATGTCATCGTCTGAAACGATCAGCAGGCTGTTTTCAATCGGGTCTTCTACAGACCGCAGGTCACAGCAGTGAGACTCCTGCTGACCAACACCTGAAGGCAACTGAAGGGAAATCCCAGGTGACTCCAGCCCTGTGTAGCTGTGAGAAGCAGGAGCAATGCCAGGGCAGATACTCACTGGCTGCTGGTTGCTCTCTTGTCTCATCTCCTCCTGGATCTGCCGCACGGTGTTGGCGATGAGCACGGAGCGGTGCAGGTTGGGCTCCACCAGCATTTTGTACGTCTGCAGCTTGGTGAGGCACATGTTGAGCACCAGCTGCCGCTTGAGCGGGTAGGGCAGACCTCGACTGGAATCAAAGGCACTCGAGAGACCAGCCATGCTCTCCTCATAGTCACTCAGCTTGCGCTTTAGGCCTCTCCCCAACATGAACCTGCAAGACAAACATCCTCAATTAACCCTGGGCAGGCTCAACAGACAATGCTGAAAACCCTGTAGTGTACAATGTATTGGTTAGCTGAGACTTTTGATGTCACAGAACATCAAGAGATAGAAAGAAATCCTACACAATAGCACTTCCATTGAAAATATGCACTTTCCAGCTATATTGTTTCATGGCAACCTTTTTCCTAAACAGAAAACATGGAAGAAAAACACTAACTCTTTTTAAAAAAAAACTATATACTTCTAAGTATATCTGACTGCCCACATGAAATAAAATAGATGCTTGTATTAAGGATCAAATAACTCTACAGAATATTTCATCATTGTCATTTTAGCATTCACTCTTAGGTACAGCAGGTAAGATTTCAAGCTAGTTTTCAACACCCATTTTGATCTCATTAAGTCATTCTAATGTCTTGCACAGTGTCTCTGAGAACATACATAGAATTCTATGTAGGACTGATTCTTCTCTTTTTTTCTTTGATGACCCAAAACTGTTTTACAGCAAGACCAACATCAGGACCTCCCATGAGGTCCTTAGATCCATTCCACAGCTTGGTAGTTTGGTTAAATGTGGGAGGAAATCTGGCTGGGCCACTGAGCTCACAGAGAGACAATGGGTTCACAACCTGCTACTGACTTCATACTAAGAACACCAGGCAGGAAGCCATCAAACAGCAATTTAAAAGCGACCAAATTTGGTAAAATTGTTATGAAAAAAAAAAAATAGAATTTAGTTGCTTTCACTCTGCTTTGTGTGCTCTTGCACTGAAATACATTAGGTCTAGAACAATGTGGTATAAAAACCTGTACACACAGTTCTAAAATATAAGTGAGTTAAACAAATACCTGCTCAGGTACTTTGCAATTATGATCCCAAGTCTAAAGAGTTTTATTAGGAACAACAAGCCCTATGCAATCACTCATATAAACTCACAAAAGGAGTACACTCTGCACAGAAAACACTGGTAAAATACTAGTTACACACATCCTAAAGTATCCATGAATACAGGCACCTTGTTCCCAAAGTATTAAAAAAAATTAAACAATCATACATTAGACACCAGTGGCAGATTAAGGGCAGATCCTTCATGCACAATGATCCAAACCCTGCATGCTGCTGAGGGCCTCCCAACTTCCTTTTCATGTGAGCACTGGATGCTGCCAGCAATAGCTCAGCTGATGGCCGCAGCTGCCAGCTGCTAGCCTGTTGCTAGACTTTTGGGGACAAGGAGAAGGCAGCAGGATAAAGCCTCTTTTACTTTCAGGATTTCTCCAGATTTGCAGTGCTCTAAGGCTATGTCCATCTGCCTAGACAAGGTTGCTGGAGAATTCAGCTCCTCTAAAGGAACAGAAAGCAAGCAGTGCATCCTCCTCAGCAAGACACGTGAGAGAAAACAGACAGCTGCTGCAGGACTTCAGGTGTCAGACTTCTCAACAGTAGATGTTTTGTTTGTTTTTTTGGTTTTTTTTTAAGGACATATCTGGATGAAATTCAACTTGTCCTAGGACTGCATTTTTACTTAGCAGGGAGTAGTCTGGTCTATCTCCAGTTCATTAACATAGTCATTCCTAAAACAGCAACAAACTTTAATTACTTGTAATCTTACCACTTCTGCAACTTTTTACCTCTGTTTTTCTCCAAAGCTTTCTGCTAAAGTGCCACAGCACCAGCTGAATCTCTTTAAAAACCAGAGGGTGTCTGGAAGTGGTGTACCTGTTCACCTGGGTCATCATCCTACACTGATCATGTATCACTCTCCCACTCCAGCACCCCATTAAGGGCAAGCAGACCCAGCCAGTCCTGAGCACGCCAATACAACAAAATCAGAACAAATTCGGATACAGAGTTTAGGCACAAAATATAAAAGTATTCCAGGAAGGCAATGTGTGTGTGTCAAGGATCCTCAAACTACTGACAATACTGTCAGTAACTGCTAATTTTTGACACAATCTATGGAAAATCATATTTATGCAGGACAAGTAGACTGCAGCAAATATACCAACTCTCATCGTGAAAACAATAATTTATGCAAATCATAAACTCACAATAAAATTGTGAACTCTCCATTTCAAGTAGCATGTAAGTGTTGTTTACTACCTCAAGCATTACCTCACAGCATCACCCTAAGAACAAAAATTATGCATCAAAACAGCTGTTTTTTCACTAAGCCATCATTCCCATACACTGCACACTAGTGTAGGGTTTGCTGTTTTTCCCTCAATTAATTAAACAGACCAAAATTTACACCCATGAGGGAATGAAGATATGACCACGCAGGAGACAACAATTCTGACATATCATACATTCAGAATGCTTGGATCTGATAATTTACTACTTTTAGTATTTTTTTAAAACACACATTTATACTCTGTTAGACACACAGGGCATCCTGTTCTTATCTCTTTGAATTATGAAAATGATGTTAATTCCTAACATCTCAAAAATGTGCTAGTATTTAATTCTGTAAGCAAGCTTAAAGAGCAAGCAGGCTATGATATGCAAGGATGTATAATTTCACAGAAACAACTGAATATGACAAGTTTTATTTTTCAATTCAAATGGTAGTCTCGTTAGACTAAATACTTCATGCTCATATAGGGAGACACCCCTCTTTTAATTCCTCAAATTTCCTTCAAAATTTGTCCCAGAGCATTTTAGAAATACGTAACAATGCTTGAGCATGACAGCACTTGACTGTAAAAGTGAAGTGCAAGAAACACTATTTGCTCCAACTTCAAAATATTTCTACTTAACATACTCCCCACTCCCAAGATGTATTTTTAAAATAAACAAACATAGTACTACCTTATATTTTAGAAATTCTGTCTAACACTGATTTATTTCCTAACAGGAAGGATGCCCTACTCTCCCTCCTGGAGCTAGACAACTTCAGAGGTAACACAAAAATTTGGAAAAGGCTAATAAAAACCAGAGTACCATTGGTACAGTGGATTTAAAAATGACTAGTGTCATGGTTGCTACAGGAGACATTAAATTTCAGTTCTTGTCAAACACACTCAGCTGTTGACCTACAAAAGACACAAAGCCCCTTTGTTAGCAGCTAATCTACATTTTATCAGGCCTTTTGCTTTACTTTCTAACAGAAGATCCTTAACAAACAACTGTATATTTTCTAAGTGGCTTGTTCTTCTGTAGCACTGCGATTGACACCTCATCCCAAACCCAAAATTCAATCAGATGCTCTGTTTTGCAGCATTACTTTGCAGCAGAAGATGCTGATGGCATTATTTAATTATGCAGTGCTTATTCCACTTCAGTTTTGGGTAGTAAGGCAAACAAGCAGCCGTGCACACACAAACCCCAGAGCAGTGTCAGCCCTTCCATCAGCTGACACCAGGGCACAGCCAGCTCAGAGCAGCACAATCTGGGCACACCAAAGCACAGCCTCCAGAAACTGCACTTTTCTTACTCCAGCCTAATTCCAGGAACCTACTCACATCTCAAAAAACTGGGTCAACTAACAGGATTTTGGGATGTGCCAATCTGATAACTTTGTAATTTGTAAGTAAACAAACTGAATAAAAATTAAAAGTTCATGCCAATTTCAAATGTGAGGTCTCCACATAGATGTTCAACTATAAAAGCAGCAAGCTCTAAGTCACCCTTTTCTTGAACTTGAAAAAGTTCCACAACAAAAATTTTTCTTCCATTCAGATGATCTATTTTAACATCTTTTGTCGTGAAAAAAACAGGAACAATGAGGAGCAACACATCACAACTTTTTTTCCTGGCATCTTCTCATCCTCTCTCATTATAGTAATGTAAACTGAGCCACAGGCCGCTTACAGCAAAATGCTTTTTTTAATTAAAATAATTTTTCTGATATAGAGAAAAGGAAGCAAAGCGAACTCAGTATTTGGGAGTACCAAACTCTCTATTCACATCACTGAACTTCAATGGAGTCTATGTAGAAATTCTGTCCTGACACCATGTTCCTCAGTTCCTTCCAGTCCTCCATGGAGGACATTTCATTGCAACTCCTCCCTGCTAAGCTGGGAAGAAGCATCCAAGCACTGTAATCCTACACCATACCAGGGTTTGAAAAATCCTGGGAGGGAAGAAGCACGTCTCTGGTTGGCAAATCCACACAATACCAAACAAACAGGCCTGGTCAGGGTGCAGCCACTCAGAAGAAACATTCCAGGCTACCAAGAAAAATTCACATTGCAACGTGTTGTGGACAATACAGGGCCCGTGCCACCATTTCAGCTCCATCTGTCACACGGTCTGACAGTGCAGCTGCCACTGACACATGGTTGGGAAGTGCAGCTGGGAACACTCTCAAGGAATAATGCAACATGTGAAAACCCTCAATTACTTCTATCTGGGCAAACTACTATTAAAAACTTTTTTGGAATATATGGGAAAACTAAAGAGAAAAGTTAAACAATGTTTAGAACTCAGGACCTAACAGAGCTTTAATTTTCAGTAGAGAAAAGTTTAAAACATAATGATTATACCAAACACAACTGCCACAGTTAGTATCACCTGAATATGAACTTTTCATGCCCAAAACAAGCACGGCATTAAACTACGCAACAGATATTTATTTACCATTAAATATGTTTAAATAGCAAGACAATCAATAAAGTACCTGGCCTTCACTATCCAAGTAAAGACAACTGAATTCATAGTGGTTCCTTTTGGCTCTTCTTTTTAGAATATTCTTGAATTCAAACTTGCTTGATCCTTTCTGTACAGCCACACTGCTGTATTTTTCAGCCCAAGACTGTCTCAAAATGAAATACTACTTTATTTTTTTTTTAAAGGACAAAAATACCAGCTTTGCAGGTGTGTAAGCTTTCACTCATGAGTGAAAGCTGCCTGTCCAGTTTGCAGTAAAGCAACTTATGTATTAAAATCAAAATTAAGAGACTCCTTTGTATTGTAATTTGGGCAAATCCCTTTCAAAGTCTCCTTTGTCTCGTAACTGTGGAACCCATGTAAGAGTAGAGACAGGCAGACTCTCTGGGCTGTAGACTTGTGCTAGTGACTGACCAAGGCTGGCTGATAACCGGGTACTCTGCTCACTCCTCTCTTCATGGACACATCTCACAAGCACAAATCTATCTAAAGGAAGTGCAAACAAACACCCCAGCAGTTACAGCTGCTCCCCAGAATTATTTGATGTATGCTGTACACTATTTTTAATGCTAATCCTTCCCCTACCTGACAGACATTTTTAGGCAACACAACTTCACAAGCAGTTTTAATTAAGTGCTGAACTGGCTATTGGCTTGTATTTCATGTAGAAGAAAGTGCACAAGGAAATGGAAAGGTTGAAGGTGCAGTTAACAGACAGCACAAATCCCTTCCTCCCATCCAGGCTTAGGGCTGATCACTTGGCCATGCCTTACATAACAGTGTAAGCTGTCAGAGCACACACAACATCTCTGATCTGGGGTCCCCAGCGAGTGCTAGAGATCCCCACACTACATCTTGGCTGTTACCCTGAGCAAGTGAGGGAAGGACTGAATGCCTTAGGAAACTCCAAATGAAAAAAGTTTAGACCTGAAGATACTTCCATATATACAAAAGTGTGTTTAAGTCCATTGCCTCCCCACCCCCCTCAGCCCTGCCCCAGTTTAGCCAAGATGAGTAACTGCTGGAGAAGGCACAAGTGACTAAAAGTGTGCATACAGGGAGGAGTGCAGTCCTACCAGCTCACTCCCATACCTAACCTCCTATGCAACAACTTCTTCACAGGAGTCACAAATTAGCAGAAAACAAAGAAGACATAATGTCAACTTTTTGGTCAACAAATCCTGACCTACAATGTGCCCACAGTCTGATACAAAGCAAGAGGAACACAGAACCAAGGTATGCTACTGTTCAGATACAAGAAACCCCAACAAAAACAACAAACAAACTCAACAAACAAACAACAACTCTGAAAACAAAACAAAAAAACCCACACCTAAGGATTTCCCCACATTTTGAAAGTAAGACTAGCCTGAGTAGCATTCATTAGGAAAGGAATGAGAGGAAGACTGAGTTTAGTACAGAATTATTCTGGAATTAGTGCTCCCACTGTCATTCACTATGTGTGGAAGTAGAAAATAAACCTGTATCATACACAAATATTTTAGGAGCTGAAATGATGTTTAGGAAGCACTTGGAAGTAAGTTTTACTTTGATTTAAAAGTTAGTTTGAAACCCCCCACAACAACCTATTTGTTATGTCTACTGGGACCTGGAAAATTCTTGCACTTAAGGACATCTTTCGAAGTTCCTTACTCCCATTTCATTTCACAAAACACTGATAAGAGCTTTCTTTACCAACTATGGCAGCTGAGTTTCAGAGCACGGCATTTCCATTTACTCTGGAGAAGGAACCCCTCTGTTAGGATCTGTACCTTCCACAGCTAAAATAAGTGGATTCCAGTGCTCAGTAGAGAGAAACTTCCACCCATAAAAAACCCCAAACTAAACCACTATCATTCTTGTCTGTCACTTGTGTATCTTGTTCCACGTTTATTAATAAAGCTCATGTGTATACTTTTAATGAGAGTGTGTTTAGCAAGGTTTTTTAGGTGGATTTTTTTTATTGGAAGAAGGGCCTGGAATAATTCAAACTAAGAATCAATACTAGTTGGCAACAGCTAATACATAATCAAGAGTTACTAAACCTAGCAACTCCCATAGTAAAACTAAACTATAATTAAATGAGAATGTAAGACTCATAAAGGAAACAAGAAGAACCAAACCACCATGGTTCCACCAAAGCATCTCACTGGAGATCCAAAGGATCATTAGAGCTGCAAATGCAATGACGGACCTCTGCACAGCTTGTTCCAGTCAACTGAACAGTTCTCAATCCCACATTTGCTTCAAACAGAAATACTAGGTGCATTTCCCTACATAACACTGAACACGTTTTAGGGTTACAGTGATCTAAAAATCTACTAATAAAGGAAGTTACAGCTTATTAAACATTAAAAATTGGTATGCCCATACTTTAACAGAAAAAAATGGACTATTAACAGTAAAAGCAAACAAGGAAAAAAAAAAAAGGCTCGTTTCCTGATGGAGGACTGTGCATTTATTTTTTTCACTAACCAAATCAGAAATAATTGAATTTTCTCTTGTAGCACACAACTTTATTTGAATATATAAAGTGCCACCTTGTCACAAGACAAAACTGCAACACACAATTTTAGCAGCTGAAGAGTGGATCTTACCATAAGACTGAAGTCTTAGTTAAGCAATTTCCAAGATGAATATGATCTTAAGGTATTATGCTTTATTGCACTGTAACAATATCCCCTTATCAAGGTAAAAATAGTAACAGAAATTCAAAATACTCAAACCAAAGAGTTTTTACCTCACTTTATATTATATATCCCATTTTTAAAAGATATATTTCAGTTTACCATTCTAATCCACATATAACATCTGTAGCCCATTACCAGAACATGTCCTATGCATGTAAGACACAATTTCATAAAAACATGTAAGTAGTTACCCTTAGAAAACAGAAAGGAGTCCAGGCAGGAAGATTCTGGATTTTGCATAAAGTGTGGTCATCCAAGAGTCTCGAACTATCCCAGAGGCCAAGCCATCCACCGAGGTAGAATGATGCGACTTAAGAGGAAAAACAAAACAAAATCAGAGCATTTAATTACTGTGTGGTGGCTTTTATTTTTTTAAATCAGAAGCATTAGGCACACAATTCAACACAACTTTTAAAATTATTTGTGGTAAAGTCTATAAAAGCAGATAAATATGGGTTAAACCCCTAAATTCATGAATACACTGAAATAAGAGGACCTAACAGTTTTACCTGTGAACACAAAAAATGTAGAAATTATCTTTCATAAATGAGTACTGCAGAATGCTGATCCTCTAAGCGTTAGGCTTTAGGATAAGGCCTTGCCCTGCTACTTCCTCAGGTTATAGAACATCAATTTACAATGTAATCATCTCCAAAATTACATAATCAGGACAGAATACCATGCATTGTGAAGAACTACGTTTCAGAATTATCCCCTAATGCTAACAGGCTACAAAAGCAGTTAGATTTTTATTTAATTCCCCAACTTTCCTCTTTTTCAGCATACACAAAACCAGTATGAGAAGACAGCTGACAAGGTGTCCTATAATTGTGTCTAATGTTCAATGTGGCACCATTTCCATCAAAGCCCTGATAGAGCAATATCTGCAGTATGGCTAGAGACCACATGGATTAAATCATGTATTAGCTGAAAGTATTGGTAACTGGGCAATGTGAAAAGGCTGAAGTGACAGTAAACTATGGGCTAGGCTAGAAAATGTGGAGGGAATCGCATGATCCATGCTCTTGAGGTCTCACCCCCACCTGGAGAACCAAAGAGTAATGAATTCCAAGAATTAAAGGCCTTGCAGGGGCTAAGAGCCTGCAGTCAGGATTGGATGTGACATGCCTGTTTGTGCACATCACACACACAGACACCTGACCCAGCCTCACAAATGCACCGCAGGAGCACGGATCAGTACTAGCTGCACACACACAGTCCTTCGTGATCAAAAATCAAGAGTTCATACATTACTTCACAAATCTTAAAATAATACATAGTGAAAGGCAGTCTTACATTCAGACAGACGGGCAAGTAAACGCCTACAGTTCATCTTACATAGCAACTCATAGCCTGATGCTACCAAAGGGCTCCTCCGCTTACAGAACCTCGGAACTGTAAAAATGCAGTAAAACAGCAGTAAAATGCCCGTGACCTAAGCAAGCCAAATCTAACCCACAGCAACAAACACATTAACATCTCCCTCCTCCTTCTAGAAGCTGACTTCTTTCCCACTATAATGATATCCATGCTATCTGTAAATAAATAGGAAAAAAATAAAAGCCCCAAACAAAGAGACAAATGAAGATTCATAACCTATTTGCTCTGAAACAGCAGGACTTCAGATGGTCACTATTGAGGTTCATTTAAAGTGTACTTGTCAGGTCACAGGGAGAGGTGTGCAGTCACTGCATTTTCTATTCACTGAATATAAAAACACATGGTTTAGAGTTTTACGATTCTTTAATGCTAAAACAACTTCACAAAGCTAACAAGCATAGTAAAATGTTGAAAAGTTTTCGATTTCAGCACCTTAGCTACAAAACTCCAAACCCAACAAAATTAGAAGCACTGGATAAAAAATAGCACTGTTACTTGTGTTTCAGAAATCCAGTATTTTGCTAAAAGGAGATGAAGTCAAGAAGTTCTCGAATTTAATTTCTTTATTAGATACTTCAAAGGATTCCTGCAGAAGTAACTGTGGAGGTTTCGACTTTTGCCCTGTATGATTTCTGGGCACACTGGGTTAAGTGTCAGGAAAAAGTACAGAAGTAAGATTATTAGGTTTAATTTTTACAATCTGTTAGGGAAAAAAAAACAACCATAGAAGACACAATAGTTGCAAATCACTATGAATTATATCTCTTTTGTGGATTACTTTTTGTCTTCCCTTCCTAGTATGTGTTTAGGGATCACTTTAGAATTTTGAGATCACAGCATCATTTCAATTTTTATGGTATTTCCCACCCTGCAGTTAACTGCCTGAAATACGGATTTTAGCCACATCAAAAATAAAGTGGAAAACTACAGCATAAGGCTTCCACCTATGCTTTTAGAAACGAGCATTCCAGCACAGTTTGAAGAATTCCAGGCCTAACTAGGGCGGAAATTATTAACTGCACCTATTTGCGAGCTTAATCTGCAATATGCATAGAGACCAATCTTATGCTCCTCCAGCCCTATCCACCTGCTCGCAGCCCCGACTAACACGCGCTTACTAAGCCAAACAAAACCTGCTATTTAAAAATGTAACCGCAGCTTACACATTAAGTCGCAACCAGCGAGCGGCAGCGATGGGGAGCGCCAGGCTGGAGCCGCCGGGATTCAGGGAAAGCCCTTTCCTGCCGGGATTCAGGGAAAGCCCTTTCCTGCCGCGCTCCCGCAGCCGCTCCCGCGGCTCCTGCCACCATTTGGCCTTTGTGGAAGGAGCGCCGGTGCTTCCTGCGGCCGTCCCGCCCCCGCCGCGGCCGTGGGCAGCGGTAACCAGAGACAACCTTGGGCTTCCCGAGCTGCGAAAAGTTACACTCCTCCCCCTTCCTCCGCCCGGCTCGCCCAGACCCCGGCCGGGCTAATTATAACTGCGCGAACAACTTCCACCGCCGGCCGCGCTCCGGCCGCTCCCCCCGCGCCCAGCGCGGCTCCCCGGGGCCGCCGCACCCGCACCCGGCGCCGCCGTGCCCCGGCCCCAGCCCGGCTCCCGGGCCGCACCGCCCCACCTGTCCCCGCGGTGCCCTCCTCCCCACCGCACCGCCGGGCGCCCCTCCGCCCCTCACCGGCAGGGCCCCCCCGCCCCGCCTTCCGCCTCCCGCCGTCACCCCGCGACCGCCGCTACCCTCCCGCTGCCCGCGGCTGCCAGCCCCGCGGCCTCCCGGCCGGCGCCTCACCTGGGAGCGGAGGAAGCCCCGTTCCTTCGCAGCCGGCCGCGCTCCCTCCCTCCGGCGGGGCTGGACTCGGCCGGGAGGAGGCGGAGGCGGCGCCACCCCCGCCGGGCCCCGGCAGCCTCCGCTCCGCCCTTCCCTCCGCCCGCCGCTCCCGCGGGGGCGCTGCGTGCGCCGCGCGCGCCAGCTGCGCGCCCTCCCATTGGCCCGCGGCCCTTTCAACCTGCCCGGCAACCATTTTCTGACTGGCCGGCGAGCCGGGGGGCGGGGCTACAGTTGGTCCCGCGGCACCGCCCAATGAGAGAGCCGGGAGAGCCGAGGGGCGGGGCCGCGCGCCGACCTCGCCCAATGGGGACGGGGGCGCCGCCGAGTCCCGCGTTCCGCGGCGCGGCGCTCCGGGGGCGGCCCCGCCCGCGCCGCCGGGATGGCGGAGCGGCAGGACAGGGCTCGGCTCCGCGCCGCCGCCGGGATGGCGGAGCGGCAGGGCAGGGTTAGGCTCCGAGCCGCCGCCGGGATGGCGGAGCGGCCGCGCAGGGCTCGGCTCCGCGCCGCCGCCGGGATGGCGGAGCGGCAGGGCAGGGCTCGGCTCCGCGCCGCCGCCGGGATGGCGGAGCGGCCGCGCAGGGCTCGGCTCCGCGCCGCCGCTGGGATGGCGGAGCGGCCGCGCAGGGTTAGGCTCTGAGCCGCCGCCGGGATGGCGGAGCGGCAGGGCAGGGTTAGGCTCCGAGCCGCCGCCGGGATGGCGGAGCGGCCGCGCAGGGCTCGGCTCCGCGCCGCCGCCGGGATGGCGGAACGGCAGGGCAGGTTTAGGCTCTGAGCCGCCGGGATGGCGGAGCGGCCGCGCAGGGTTAGGCTCCGAGCCGCCGGGATGGCGGAGCGGCAGGGCAGGGTTCGGCTCCGCGCCGCCGCCGGGATGGCGGAGCGGCTGGGCCGGGCTACCGGGATGGCGGAGCGGCCGCGCTCGGCTCCGCACTGCCCTGCTTCACCCGTCCGTGCTGCCGCACTAAGTGCCTTGAAATAACCGCGGAGCCACCGGCCAGCCCGCTCCAAACCCACAGCCACCCCCGTTTCCCCCCTTTTTTTGGTATATACTCGCAGTCCGTCTGTGACCAAAACTACCAAATTTCAGTAAAAGGCACGCCCAGGGCCTCCACGGAGCAGCGTTCCTACAACGCCCCGGTGCCAGCGCGGTTGGGAAATGAGGCGCGCACGTCTCCCGACCAGCCCTACAGCTACGTCAAACATTGCACAATTCTGCCATGAATATTCACTTCATTTCTTTTCCTTCAAAGATGAAGTGGTTTTAGCCATGCTCAAACCTCGTATTTGCTTTTCACGGGCATTTGCGTAATCAAGTTACATTGGCACAAGCGTTTGTACAAGCCAGATTTCAAAATCTGACATTGAAGTATTTGTAAGATCAATTTTGATCCTTTATCGAACCCTGCCATGGGTTCATTACCTGATGCATCCCCTGAAAGCTGCTTGATCTAAACCCATCTCTAGAAGAGCCAATCTCTAGGACATTAAAACCAAACAAAACTCGAGGACATCTGCACAGATGGGTTCCTACACTGACAGCAAGCACAGACCAAGTTCACACACAAAGTTCCATGTCGTGCTCAGAAATACTACAGAAGCATTTGCAGTTTTCTGGTGGAGATACACCACAACTTCGATGAAGGATCAGCTTCTTTTTGTGATTATTCAGCAAAGGAGATTTTTTTCTTTGAAACCCTCAGGTCCAACAGATTTTAACCCTTGTGTCTCCTGATGGGCACTTGTGAAGGGGTAGGAGTGTGCAGCAGGGCAGAGAGACAGAAAGCTGGAGCTGACCCCCACGGGTGAGGACAAGGGCATCGTCTCTCCAGGCCACCTCTCTCCTGCAGCACGGTGCCCCCAGTTCCTCAGCCACAGCTGTGCTCTGACCTCACTGCCGGGGTCACAGAGCGCAGAAGGGAGCGAGTGCTGCCATGAGAAGCACTAATGAATCCTTTTTGACACGCTGCCGGAGCTGTGTCACCTCCCCAAATGGCTGAGGGGTGACACCCCGACCCCCGTGGTCCATCTGCTGCACCAAATGTAAGTGCAGGACCTGTGTCAGCACGGAGGGGAAGGAATGGACCAAATACCTCCTCCAGATCCCTTCCTTCCCACCACACACTGTGGCTTTAGTGGAGGAGTAACTCTGAGATGTTGAGGATTCTTCTGTCTGCTGAAGTCAACCAGGGACAACCAGGAGTATTGCACCAGGACCGACCCCTGCCATATGCTGGGGATTATCTCCAAGGGATAGACACAGCACAGGCGTACAAAGGTAGCTGGTGCAGAAGAGATGGATCTGGAATCATTATGTCTAATATAGACTATAAAGGGGCAGTGTAACTAGCAGTACCACCAAAGTGTCCCCATAGCTTGAGCCAAGATTAGGCTTTGGAGACTTGATTCCTGCAGGCCAAAAGTCTATGACCTCTGGGCAGCCCTGCAGCACTGGTACACTCCTGGACAATTCTCCCTCTCCAGCTCAGTGCTTGAGCCTCTGGTACAGCCATTCTCCTCCAGTTCAGACCTCCCAGCAGACACCAACACCAGGTCACCCTGCTCTCCTCACTCTTTCTTCAGTGATTACCCAAGGTGGTCAGCTGTTCTGTAAGCAGTTTTTGTTCTGTGCAATAGAGAAGGGTGAATGTGCTCTATCATGGATGTTTCTAGAAAGGTCCATTGTTTCAAGCATGCTCTGACAAGAGCTACAGCAAAAAAGAACCTGGAGCTGTTTAAATGCATGCATCAGAACTTTGGATTCATGACTTAACACTTTAAGTTCATAGAAATGACACAAAACATGGTGATTATTCACAAAGGGTTTGGTCACTTTTTTGCTTGTGTTAACAGTGGGATCCACATAAAAGAACTGGGACCTCGTTTAGCTTGGCAATATTTAGTGTCTCATGTGCTAGAGGAGCCATGCTTGTCTCACACAGTGAAGAATTCAGAGGGCTGAGCTCACATATAAGGGTTTTCTTGATAAAAATTTTCCTTTACATTCTCAAATGAGGTCATGTTCTAGGAGTCTAATGCTCTCCCATTTTAACTTGAACTAAGCTTGAGGCAAACAGAGGACTGTATATGATTTTTAAATGATTTAAACACGGCCTTTCAGTATGACTATACTCACTGCAGCAGGCCAGAGTGCCATTCTCACGAGCAGCATATTTGCTTCTGCAGCAAATTTCACATAAACCAGGAAAAAACACAACCCCCAAACCAATCAAGATCTGTATATAACTCATCTGAAAGGAACGCTGGGGGTTTGCTACTTCCTCTTACCTTCATACTCGGCAACTATTCAAAAACACAGTTCCAGGAACACAAGAACTAATGAAGACTGCTTTCCTATGGATTTATGCCTGTGATTAATTACTTTGTGTCTAAGGTAAGAGCTCTAATTGAGCTAGTCTCATGCCTGGAAACTTACGTCTCTCCCATATCTGGATTACTGGTTATCAGTACAGAATGCTGTTTTCTTCTGGTATCCACACTTGGAAACATTCTAAAAATGTAGTGACTGTGAGATCTGACGGATTTAATTGAAATGAATTGGCTATTCTAAAGCTGAATGGCAGAATGATCACGTTATGCCATCCTTCCATAGGGAAGTGAGAAAGGCAGAGCACGCTGCACTAAACCCTGGTGGTTTTACCACCTCTTGTTGGTGGTAAAGCCTCTGTGAAGAAACTATTCCTACACTTACTCAAGTTTATTAGAAAAAGCCATAACACAAGATGGTTATTAAAAACCTAACAACACCTTACAGAATATTTCTCAGATTAGGAAATTAGCCATTGATCTCTTTTGTCAAAAGAAATTGTAAATTTGTAAATTGTACAAAATTTACAATTGTAAAATAATTTCAAACACAGAAAAGTGAATTTGTTATATGCACTGTTTTTTTTTTTTTCCTTTTACATATTAAACTCTTTTGGTTTATGAGGTTTTTTATCAACATACCCACTCTTCCCTTTGGAAGTCCTGTTTTGTAAGCTTGCACAACTCCAGGTTGAAGCTGCATTACTTTTTCTTGACTTCCTCTCCAAATCTTGTCTGTAAATGGAACATGAAAAATAGTATAAACTGTTTCCTTCACTGCAGCATTTTATTATTGCAGTACATCCTTGTACTTCCCACTCCTTGGGAAGCTCCATGGGGACTTTCAAATACAGCATACATGGGGATACAATTTCTGTTTAATTCTGGTTTTACAAGAAGTAATGTAATCACCTGTATCTTCTCTTACTCGTCCCTAAAAATATGACAGCTGAAATTACTCAAATGTTTCCCTAGTAATGTAAAGCAGCTGCTAGCATTAGGTTTTCCAGTTGACATGTTTGTCATGCATGAATATTTACCACTATAATTCTTCAGGTCATAAACCACTCATATTTGGGTATTGTTGGACAAGCAAATGAATATTGGGGTTTTTTTAAGAAAGAGCAACCATATAAACTTATGAAAATCATGTCAAATAATGAAATTTTTGTACTTTTCACTAGCCTTTTTTTTTCCCCAAAAAAAGCACTAGAAACTAGAAAAAGCACTAAAATAAGCCTCTTTCCTGACAAATTATTCGATGGGATTTCACCTCTCCATGAAAATTCCTTCGAAAAAAAGTAGGAAAACTTATCTTAATTGTAAGCTTTGCAAGAGACACCAAGAAAAGTTTGGACAATCCTTGCAAAACCTTGTATTTGATAAGCCATATTGACAAAAGTATGTACGTTCCCAAGATGTTTATTTCATTTCTTTGAAACTTGGTGGCTTTTTACTCTTAGTATTAGTCAGTGTGAAATAACACTCATTTAAGAACTGATGAGCAAACAAAATTTGTCATCATCAGTCATGGGTTTTTTCTGCATATGGGACTACATCCTAGGCCTGAGACATGAGTATATTTTCACTTTGAACAGAAGTAATTTTTGAAAGCATTTTTATTTGTCTTATCATAGATCTCAGAAAGCAAATGTGTTGGGATGTTTTAATTATAGCTTTTGACAGTTAATTTACGTATAAGGGAATATGGAGGAAGTTGCAGGACTGTAAAGCAGTCACATAAATCAATGTTCTGAGACACAAAAAATCCATAATGGTCTCATAATTACAATATTATTCTATACTCCAGTCAATTTACAATAATGCCTTTTAAAATGCTTACTAAAGCAGCCCAGACATACCCAAGACTTCAAAAAAAGTCTACGGACAGCTTTGAGAACAGGTAATTCCTGGTGAGTCTGAAGGCTCAGCTCATGTGTGAATCCCTAACCTGCTCCAGGCTGAAACCCTTCACTGCTGTGCCTCCAAGGCAGTCTGGTCAGGACAGGTGCTTTAATTCAAAGACCTGATTCTCTCTTCATTGACCAAATTTGTCCTTTAGGCAAATATAGTCTGGTCGTAGAGACAGGTGGTGTCTTGTGCTAAGCAAACTCCCAGAGCTGAGGCAGAGAGAGGGGGTTAAAAGAAACCAGCAAACACCCCACAAACAGAGAAGCAGTAAGCAGACAAGCTATTGTTACAGAATGCCTGAGCTCTGATTTTCTGGCAGGGAAAAAGGAGAAATAAAAGCACAGGCACGGAAGAAGGGGACAGATCTCAGTGCTACCTGCAAAGGAAGCAGATTGGATATTAGCTGTGTGCCTGACAGAGCTTTCTTTGCTGCAGGTGTACAGCCCAGTGCCACCAGCAGACCAACAGCCTTGTCTGACACACGGCATTGATGCTGTGCAAGCTCCACAACTCTTCCCTAGGAGCACAAGAGAAAAAAGGCTGCTAGGAGCGGCAGCAAAATCTGCCAGAAGCCTTTACTAATTTAAGAAGTTTTTTTTTTTTAATTTCCCATTTACATGTAGAAATTAATAAAATCCCCAGCAGCAAGTATCAGCTCTCACCATTTCTAGTAACAGCTCACTAAAGAAATGAGAATGGCAGTTAGAAAATAAAGCTTTTTTTTTTTTTTTTTTTTTTTTTTTTTTTAACCAGGAGAAGTGAAGCATGAGAAGCAGTTAAACTGAGAAACATTATGAAAGCAATACGGAGAGAAGCTGATTTTACAGACTGGTCTCTGCAAAGTCAGACCAGTTGTAGGCACCCAACAGTTCTGCATGGTGACTGTGCAAGTTTCAGCAATACCATTTCTTATACCTGCTGAGCCAAGATATCAGGCTTGTAAGAGCACATTAGATTTGGCATAAGTTTTAAGAATGTAATAAAACAGGGTATATATTTCTGTTTAATGCTTAACTCCACAAATGCCTACTTACCTAAAAGCTTTTCTGCTAAGCCAAGTAGACTATAAATTTTTTAATTAGGCACAGCTTCCTCAGTGAAGGAATGCACCCAGCTAGATGCTTTTTACAGTAATAAAGTTATAAATACACACATGTGCATTTGGCATACACAGTTTAACAGTTTTGAACACGTTATACTGATTCCTAGCTGTAACATGTAGACTGATGCACACTAAGGAGGTGGGGAAGAGCATTTTAAAGATATCTTAACATGAAATTGCTCATTTAAAGAAAATGGAGGTTGTGGGGCAGAGGGGAACATGCACAATTACTCAAACCTGTGGGTTTTCAACACAGTTCAGAGCATTTTTGGAAGTTTCCCAAAGGAACAGAAGATATTTAGTTATTCCAATCAATGCTGATGTTCCCTTTATAAAACTGAAACTGCCTGGCTCTGTTTTACCCTAAGGCATTTGCTCTCCAGTTCCATGGTTCACACACAGAAAAGAATCAAGAAAAAACACCTGCAGATCTATAATTTTTGAAAGAATTTCTAATACTACGACAAACACTACCAGATAAGCCAGCTTTATTTCACTGTGAGGTACAACAGTATTTATCTATATTTGGATCCTCCTGAATCAGTGTTTATTGCTGCAATACCTATGAGTGATCTCTCAATCAAGACACGCAGCATGGGCTTCTCTGTGTTCCGGCTGTATCCTACAGACTGAACTTGCCAGTGCCTATATGCTATTTTGTCCTTTAGCATGAAGTTATTAATCAAAGTTTAACTACAGCAACTACAACTTACCTTATGCCAAATTTAATACAAGGAAACATCTTCTAGCTCACTGAAGACTCACACCAAGTGCGTGGTTTTGGAAGATGGGGCCAATATACATTCAACTGTTGAGTTTGCAAAATTTAGCTAAATGGTATCTTTCCTCTAAGCAGATGGTTCTAGAACACATGAGCTCAATGGTCTCCTTATTCCTGAAGTGATACTCAAATGTTCTTAACACCCCTTTGGCACCCCCACCTCCAAACCCCACTCCAGGTCTGAGAATCTGCATCATAGGTAAGGTCACAGGCAGAGCCTGCCACACACAGCAAGGTTCTCTTTCCTTGTTCAGCAACTTGCTTGGCTCAGATCTACAAAAAACAACCACCTTACTGACAGATGTCTTCCCCTGGCAAGCCATGGCCAACACATTCTAGAAACCAATCTGTATTTTCCCCCTTCCCTGAACCTTGCTAGTTTGGGGCTTTTCCCCAGTAGCAACTTCTGATGGTAAACATTTGTTATTTTATAATAAAATTATAGGCTATACTCAAATTATCCCTTTCCCCCAGAAAAAATCTTCTAGGAATAAGCTTAGTTATATACACTCTAAACCGAATGTGCTGGAAGAAAAGACCACCATCCATGTTGTATTACATTTTTTGTTATTAAAAAAAGCCAAGAGGAAACCCTTGGTAAGAGTGGAGCATATTAATTATGACAAGACATCATGACATACCAACCAGTGAGACTTAAAGGCCGCTAATAACACTTTTTGTAGCAATTAGTGCAAGACAGTTATCCGATATAAACAAATATTTGATGGTAGACTTCAATAATAAACAATTCACTTGATGACATTTACATATAAATACACATAAATAAAACCTGCATCATTTAGGCTTGTAGTTAACAAAAAGTATGGTCTGAAATGAATTAAATGTAATTGTGCCTAGCTAGATCAAAGCTTGTCCTATAATGATACTCGAGTGTGTGGGGTATGAAAAGCACAAATGTACAATTCTCAATTTAGTAAAGTACTACTCTATGAAACAGAATCATGAAAACAGCTCTTACATTTTAATGCAAAGTATAAAATTGTATATTTACATTTACATACACTTTACTGAACTACATTGGGTAGCTCATGGTAAAAAACATCCCTTTTTGAAAATTTTGCAAAAAATACATCAACTGCAGATATGATCAAAAGTTACTAAGTTAGCAGCTGACATAACATCTGTAGTAAAAATATATTTTAGGAAAATACCTGGAAAAATCTAAAAACTAATAAACACTTTAAAACTATTTTTGAAGTAAAAATTGTAGCAAAACCCAGAAGAAGCTAGCAAGGATAACAAGAACTATTGCATATTGCTCTTTAAGAGCCATGTAGCGACTTGAAACAGAAGCAGCAGGTATGGTAGGAGATTTGTGGTGTAACAAAGTGGAAACCGTAGGATAACAGGAAACCAGTTATCTAACTTCTCTGTTTATTACCATTTTTATGGGAGAAGTATAAGAAGATAAGAGAATCCCTCTCCCTGAGGATATCCTCCATCAAAGGCTAAAACAAATTGGTAAAAGGAACCCAATTTCAAGAGCCTTGGATCCCCAATGTAGAAATATTTACCATATGTACTTACAGTTCAGTGGACAATAAATCAGATTATTACACTACAAGTTGCAGGTTAACTTTAAGAGTTAACACTATATTGCAATATGAAGTGCTTCTTAATATATGTATCTATATAATATACAGACATCTGTAAAATACTCGTGCAGATTTGATAGAACAAACTGTGGAAATTGCTTTCTCAAGTCTTTTCTCCCATTAACAGATCTTTACCTCCACACAAGGAGGTTCAGGATTCAACAAGGATTTCCACAATATGATCAAGGTCATTAAGATCAGATTTACAATTAGAGTTAGAAGCTGTATTTGTTGAAGAAGAAAATGTTTCAAGGCTGTCACAGTGTCCCATTTTTGTGTTGCTCATCATGCCAGTTAACATAGTATCAAGATCATAGTAAGAATTGTCAACTTCTGAAAACAGATCTTCAACAGAATTAGGGCTTTTATTCTCCAGTGTCTCAAATATTTGATCTAAAGATTTTTGAAAGTTTCCTTTATTTTCTTGTGGATTCTCCATTTCCCACACGCTGCTCTGCAGGTTTCTTGGTGCTTGCACTGCAGAGGCTGTTGACATAGTGTCTGAACTATCTTGTGCCTGATCATTCTCAAAGTCTTTATTGAAAGTACCATAGGCTGGAACATGCTTTCCCTCAGCTTGATCCCTAGATGAACGACAGAGGATATCTGTTGAAACAAGACGATCCAGGGATGCCTGCCCTGTACTCTGTGTATTTATCATCTGCCAAGTCCCGTCCTGAGTCATTTCCTCTTGGATCTGCCGTACCGTGTTGGCGATTAGTACCGAACGACAAAGGTTGGGTTCGACCAGCATGTGACACAGCTGAAGTTTAACCAAGGACATATCTAAAAGTGACTGCCGCTGAAGATTATAGGAAGGAATAGCTTTAATACCAGCCAGAGTCCCTTCAATATCTTCTTCACCATCAAAACATTTTCTCTTTAATCCTCGCACAAACATTGTGTCCTGTTTAAAAAAAAAACAACAAAAAACCAAACAAATAAAAAAAAATCATGGACAACACAAACAGCTCAAGAGGAAGGAGGAAAAAAAAAAGTACTAAAAAAAAGAACAGCGAACTTTAATCTTTTATTAAAAAGCAAATTCTTTAAAGATAGAAACATCAGAATTGTCATACCATGTTCTAGAATGGCCAGTGTGGTACAACAGGGGTCAGGAACAAGTGGACCGGGTCCCAAAGGCGACATTCGGGAACCAGGGGTGAGCAGGTCCACAAGGCATGGCACCGGAGAGAGGCAGGGGCTCCCAGCTCCTGGCTCCCGTTAAGCTCTGCACCTGATGCTGCCTCGCACAGAAGCAAACATCTCACCAGCTGTATTTCCCCTACTGGAGAGGCAGTTTCTCCTCGCTCCTCCCGACTTTCTACTGGCATGCTTAACCTCTGATTTTGGAAATAAAAATACAACCTGGCACACCATTTTTAAAAGGTTTGACCCCTCCAGAACATGAATATGCCTAACAGAGTAACATTAAAAAAAAAAAAAAAAAACCAAACATGGGCAGCATATGTGAAAAGATTTGCTTATTCGACTACAAAGACAGTAATATCTAGATTTGTTCCATGTAACTTGAGACATTCAGCAGAGGTGCCCAAAGCAGTCCTTGTGGTTCCCTTCCTTAGGTGAGTAAGTGAACCGAGTAATTCCAATAAGAACTATCCAGTAAGGATAATCACAGTCATTCTCTGTATGGACTTCTGTACTCCTTTCCTTATAGCTGACTCTAAGACAAGAAAATTCCTGTATTTGTAGCTTAGGTTCACCAGCTAAAAATACACAGGGTGCATGCAGGCTTTTCAGTATTCACACCTAAAATCACTTGTTGAATTCTACAAGGGGTACCTCTCACATACCAGCTCTTCTTCTGAATTGCACTAATTTTGACAACAGTGACCCATGCAACTATTGCAACTGGTCCCTTGGAATACAAAGTAACTTTTTTTTTAATGCAGTATATATCACTTCTTTAAGTCTTATAAAAATTGGGCTGCAAATGAAACCTGACCTTTTAAGTTATGCTTCTTCCTTATTTTCCTTCTATGTCTTCTGTCCTTAGAATTCCTGCTTGCCGACTATCTGGGGGCTTTTTTCCAAGGTAGTGACCCAAATGGAACAGTTTTTCAACTAAAAGCTGATAAAACCAAAATACTATTGCCGTGTCTTTCTAGTAACTTCCCATTTTCCTTGATAAGCCCTAAACTCTGGCTTGCTTTTCTGGTTGCTACGGTACATTCCACATATTTTCAAGGAATTCTCTCTCAGCTTTTTCAGAGACACTAAAAATCCACCAAAGGGCAACAACACTGCTCCTTTCAAAATACATTACATGCTTATCTGCTGTGAAAACCTGAAGATAGCACAGTAGCTAGATAAACACTTGGTCTGACTCTGTACAACACTTGTTACATTGCTGTATATATCCGTGAAATAACCTTCATTGGGATTTGCCAACTCTTAAAAGATTTTTTTCCACTGAAAGTACAAAACTATTTTGAAATCATAATGTGCAGAGACTACATATAGAATAAACTTGGTCTTGTAATAATTGTTCATCTTAAAAGCTATCCATGGATTCACTATGTTTTAAATACTTTGGACTTTTCTTCTAAAATTTTATCCTGATACTTAACATATTTTTATTAATCATATTAAATACTCGGTATTTTTGTTGCTCTATAGTTCCTTTCCCATATTTTTAGACATTCCTGCAAACTTCCTATCAGAGGATATCCTATTTAATTTTTCCTACACTTGTATCTACAGTAATTTCTGAACAAACCCTTACCACCCCCCCACCCCCTCCCCCTGTGAAACAACCTATAGAAACATCTTTTGGGACTGTTTACAAATCATGTATGATCACATCATCAAACATTAAACACTGTGGAGAGTTTGAAGTTTCTTTTATTTCAACTTATATTCTTGTGAAGAGTAAACAAAACTTCAACTGAATGTTAACCTGGTTTCATACATCTATAATTTGGCATCTATATGCCTTCTAAGGCACACCAACAGAACAGAACACAGGAGAAAACTTGAAAACATCAATACATCACACACACTTGGGCACCTAGAAGCAGAGGAAAAACATTTATCGATTCTTAAAGGTAAATCTTTCACAGCATTCACTGATTTTTTTCTAAAACTTGCTTTCAATTAGTATCTTACATCATAAAGCCAGTTCTTTGCCATTCTGTTCTCCTGACTGCATAGAGTATCAGGTTATGGTTTCATTTAAGAAGCAGAAAGTGACGTACCAGGAATGGTGTTTGATGCAGTCCTTCCTCTTCTCCCATGCTCCTGAGCAAGAGTCCATGCAGTAAAAGTGACAGCACCACCTGGCAAGCACAGGGAAGCAGGATGTCAGGCAGGGACAGGAGATGCAGAACAAGACAGTTTTGCTTCTCTATCCTGTATGATGTGAGCATCATTCCCAGAAACATGAATAGTACTATTAAACCCAACGCACAATTAGAGCACAGATGGGATTTGGCCAACAAAACCCCCAAAATCTGCAGCAGGAGGGAAATGCCAGTTTAATTCCAAGTCCTAGGCTATTGCCTGGACCTTTGGACCAGCACTTCCCTTATGCCTACAGCCTTGTCATTTAAAGAGAAAACAAAAATTTTTCACATGAGCATTAAAGTGTACACAAACAAAAGGTAATGAAAGTAAATCTTCCTTACTTTTATTACAAAACTATAGTTTTCACCTTTTTTGTAAAAACCCATGTATATCTCTGTAGCATCTAGAGGAAATGAGGTGGCACAAACACAAAACTGTAACATAGCAAAACATGAGAGAATTTTCCTTTACAGCATAGAAACTTTATGACTAAGATTTACTTAGCAAGATGACAATAACGAAAGTAATGACAGTAATTAAACTGCTTTAACAATAAAGGCTGAGTTTTTAAAACCCATTTAAAGCATAATAAGATTTGATATCTCAAATACAACTTCACATCACATGCAACAATTCCCTTAACTACTGCAACAAAAAAGAGTGCTGTTCCAACAGGCTACAAAAACTTTTATAATAAACTATGGAAACAATTCAGATACTTTTCTAGACATGTCTGTGCAGTACAAGACAGTTCTGTGTCTGCAACTAAAGTGCATACCTGGAAAAGAAACAAATAAAGGGGATGCACATGGAGATCTGTCCTGATTTTCTGTTTTGTGTAGTAATAAACAATTTTTCAAAATTGCTTCTCTCAAATGGAGGGGGAAGAAAATTGATGACAAAGGACTTGGGGGCGAGAGTGCAGAAAACATGTCTTTACTCAAGAAGCTGCATACTTGTTAAAATGCCACAATGGAAAAAAAAAACACCTTTAACGTTCTCAAGCCGAGAACTTTTGACTTGATTGCAAACATTCAAACATAAATGATGTTATGTCATGGAAACTGTATTTCAAACAATTCATAGTCTCTTTTTTTTTATGGACTGAGCTCACAGCAACTTTAGAAATAGTGTTTTAAGGCATCTGACCTAAACTTCAATCAGACACCATATCAAGTCAATAAACTATTTCTTATTTCTGGCAAACACTTTATGACACTATAAAAGTTCAGAAGTTTTTGCTCCCCAGGTACGCTTTGAACATATTCTACAAATGAAAAGTGATCTCTTTGAGAGCCTGTGTCTGGTAACTATTTGAATCCAAAAATTTCTACTTTATTGGGGGGTAGGTGACAAAGGCATAAAAAAACATCCAACATCAAATGCCTCACCCGCCAAGAACTATAGGTAAAGATGGTGCAGTCATGACAAAAACAAACTGAAATATTTTCTGAAGCTATTTGGTATATCTGACAATTTTAGAGGGAGAGGCTGTGGCTGTTTGCCTCCCAAAATAGGGGACAATACAGGAGGGGACTGTTGCTGTTGGTAAAAGAGCCATTATCACATCCACAAACTAAATAACAGGGGATGCTGGCAGACCAGTCCAGTCTGTAATCTATTTATGTACTACAGAAGGAAAGTTTTCCCATGCAATATAATAATGTGTAAAACCTGCTGCATGTGATTCCACGTTCTTCCCTAGTCTATAACCAAATCACATGGACTTCTGTTAGTATAAATTTGAAGAATATGTCCATCACAGCAGTCATTTCTCTGGGCTCTATAAACTGGCATAAATGTGTATCTCAGCAACCAAGCTCTCAGTAAAAGCATATTAACTTCATAGCTATTACCAGATGCAATTAAAACTTTGCAAACAAATGACCTCCCACAGACTTCCCTACATTATCTCCAATAAGCATTCATCTCAAGAGAACTCTAAATTTGAAACTTAATTAAAATCTAAGTATCTTTTCCTATTGATTTATCTATTAACATACTCAAAAAGGCATTAGCCATTGTGTAAAACCTTTTGGTACATCAGAGGAAGACTGCCGCTGCTTCAGAGTTCAAGGTGTTCAAAATCCCCTGATAATTTGAAGCAGCACCTTTCTCTGTCCAAGAGGCAGCATCCAGACGAGCTGCATCATCTCCTTTCTTCTTCTGCTTCCCCAGTATCATGAGCCCAAACTTTGTGTATTCAACTAAGCTGCTGTTTGAAACAGCTATGCAGAAAAACTGTTGTCAAGGAGATCACAGCTAGCTGCAGCATAGTGCACTAAGGGAAAAGGAGTTTTGTCGGGTTTCTTGTTTCACTTTTTAAAAAATAAATAATAGCATAGCATTATGTAATTCATTACAAGTTTTGCTTTTAGGATCAACAAATTCCCAGTCTGCTTTATAAAAAAGGTGCTTGAAATTTGATTAAGTTCTTATTAGAGCATCGACTTAAGACATTCCAGGTTCACACGCAATTCGGACTCATATAGTGATATGCTGCCAAAGAAATAGTTAAGTACTTTAGGGAAAAAAAGCTGCTTCCCACTAACTGGGTTAACAAAGACAGGGAATTTCAGCAGTGCTTATCTTTAGGGAAAAGCAGACAAGACGTACCCAGGCCAGTGCTGGAGGCTCAGTGAAGCACAGTGCTGCTTTTTGTACAGCCGTAAGTACAGTGATGATGGTTAGCACGGGAAAGCAAGAAGGGGCCGTATCGCCCCTCTACCACTCTAATCCTCTCCACTCCAACACTGGCTTTTCTAAGAACCGTGGGAAGAAACCAAAGCTCTGCGTAACAGTGGAGAAAAAACGGAAAGAAAGCTGCTACTCCTCTTTAGCCATGCACGTGTGCCCGTATGGTGTGCCGTGGTATAAGGTGGGATGTAGACACAGCAGAGGGACGGTAAGGCCAGAAGCATCGCTATTCAAACTGGAACAAAGGCCCCTGTAAAGCACTGGGGTCTGCCCACCCCCGGGCGTAGGGGGCTGGCAGGCACCTCTCTGGCACTCGAGAGACTGGGGAAGGGGTTCCAGCACCCGGGGAAGGGCAGGCTGAGCAGACAGGGCAGGAGCCCGTGGAAACGCAGGTGGGGGCCAGGGGCGCTAAGCAGGGGGAGCCCGCAGAGCCGGGGGGAGAGGCGGGACCGGGGCGGGGAGCGAGGGGGAGCTCCCCGCCAGTGGGAGGGCAGCGGAGCGCCCAGGAGGGGCGCGCACGATGAGGGAGCGGGGCTGCGGCGGGGACCGAGCGAAGGAGAAGTGCGGAACGGGCCGCCTGTCCCGCCCGCGCCGGCCCCTCAGCGCTCCCGGCGGTTACTCACCGCCCCGCGCTCTCGCCGCCATTTTGATTCGATCCCCCCTTCAGCGGGTTCCGCCGGCACCAGCTTCCCGCGGATCCGACCCAGCCCAGCCCGACCCAGCTCACCGTACTCACCGCCTTGCCACTGCTGTCGCCGGCGCACACCCGCGCAGGAACTCCCGCTCGGCTCCCGCCTCACCGTCCGCTCCGCGCCCGAAGGACGGGCGGGGCCAGCCGGCCCCGCCTCCCCCCGCCCGCCATCTTATAGTCAAAGCCCACAAAGGGACCCGCGGCCGCTGGGGGCGGGCCTTCCCCGGAGACCGCGCCCACCAGGGAGCGGCGGCGCCTGCTATTGGCTGCCGCCAGGAGTTGCAGGCGGCACTCGCCGCTGCGATTGGCTACAGCGCCCGCCTGTCCCGCCCCCGGGCTTCGCCCCCGAAGGCGGTGAGGTTGCCATGGCAGCCGGGCCCTTCCCCTCGGCCGTGAGAGGCTGAGGGCGGCGGGGGCGGGGGCGAGGCGGGGCCGCCCGATTTCAAACCGCGGCCAAGGCCCCGCGGTGCGTCTGGGCTCCCGGCCACGGGCTCCGGCGGGAACAGGTTCAGACCTGGCCGTGCTGCAGCCCGCGGGGAGCCCTGGCGGGGGAGGGGAGAGGGAGTGTTGGCAGCCCCGAGCCGGGCGCTCCCCGCCGTCCCACTTCCCTCATGGCCCGGGAGCCCCGGAGCTGCGCCCCGCGGGGGTGACAGGAGGCCTCAGCACTCCATTAGCAAGGCCTGTGGCATTTCCTGTTCGGGCCCAGCCCCAGGTCTCGCAGTCGGAGCCAGGAACCCGCGTGCTGGGGCGGGGGTGATGTCTCACCCCGCAGGCAGCCGCTGTCTGAACACGAGTCAGCAGCGAGTGCCCAGGCGGGCGAGAACGCCAGCGGCGTTCTGGCCTCCATAAGGAATAGTGTGGCCAGCAGGACCAGGGAAGTGCTGGGCACACCTTGAGTACTGTGCCCTGTTCTGGGCCCCTCAATTGGGGAGGACTATTAAGGTGGCTGGAGTGTGTCCAGAGAAGAGACCAGAGCTGAAGGGTCTAGAGCACAAGTTTTATGAGAAACAGCTGAGGCAGCTTGTGGATGTTTAGCCTGGAGAAGGGGAGGCTCAGCGGAGACCTTATCACTCCAATTTTCTGACAGGAGGGTGCAGCCAGGTGAAGGTTGGACTCCGCTCCCAGGGAACGAGTGACAGGGCAAGAGAGAACATAGCCTTAGGCTGTGCTGTTGGGAGTTTAGGCTGAACATAAGGAAGAATTTCCTCACAGAAAAGGTGACTAGGCACTGTAATGGGCTGCCCAGGGAGGTGGTGTAGTCACCGTCCCTGGAGGTGCTGAAGGAAGACTGGACATGGCCATGTTATGCAGTGCTATGTTGGACTCGATCTCAGAAGTCTTTTCCACCCTGATTTTTGTCCTAAAGCTGCCGCCACCCTGCTCAGCGAACCCCCCTCCCCAAACCTTGCCGCTGTGACCCCAGCCCGATGCAGCCGCACATCTGCAAGCACTTAGGCCGCCCCAGCGTGTCTCGGTGGCTGTCCCGGCCCAGCAGCTCCGTGCCGGCTGTTCCGGAGCAGCCCGGGGGAAGGAGGGGCGGCTGGCCCGGGCTGCCCGAGCACCGCAGAGGCGGCAGCTGCTGCCTCCCGGCCCTGGGCGGGCGGGACGGAACTGGAGAAAGGGTGGGATAGGCAGCCGGAGCTGGAGGATGGGTGAGGCTTGCGGCTGAGGTTCTCATAAGACAGGCTGGGAAACAGCAGAGCTGTAGTGTCATACAGTAAAGCAGGAGGAAATAACATATACTACAGATACCCATGGTAAAAAACCAGTAAATGCGACCCCCTTTAGTCTTGACCAATGAATAATTTCAGAGTTGCAATTTGCGTCCAGGTCGGCAAGTTCTCTTTTTTTGCCGTCCAATTGGTTGGTGTTGTTTTTCTGACGCCAATCCAAAATTTGGGACATGTTGGGGGAAAACAGGCTCAACTGATCGATGGTGCAAGGGCCTCTGGGTAGGTGAGAGGGGCTGCCTGAAAAAGCTCTATCTCCACAAATAAAGAAGGTTCCACTAGGTAGGGTGTGAGGTTTGGAGGTAAGGGTGAGTGGTTCCCATATGTGGCTGATTTTTTTACACCAATTTTTTGCTATGTATTGACTTTTGATTTGTTTAATTTCTGTGCGCCTGATTCTTGGGGCATTGGGTTCAATCATAAAATGAATGCAATAAGGGGCTTTTGCTGAGCCAAGCAATTCAAATTCACGGAGTTCCTCCTTGGCTTGTGGTAATCTTTTGAGGAACTGTTCCCAGGGAACTAAGGGATTGTACATAGGGAGGAAAGAAGAAACTAAAGAAGGAAGAAATTCATTTGACTTGAATGGGATCCCCACAAGGCAGGTGGACATTGGGTTGGCAGTGGAGTCAGTGGACAGACAGATGTTTTCCTGCCCAAGGGTCTGTGCCAGAGTTTTCCACACGTTGGCTTGTGGCTGGGGAACAATCCATGGGTGGCCAGGAGACACAATGTAGAGCAGAGTGGTCAGTAATATCAGCATCCTTGCGGGGCTTGGGGTCATCAGGCCTGGACTGGTCTGGTGTTAATTACACCCAGAACGATATTGACCTCTTGTGGTGTTTGGTGTCTCCGATGATGACATACTTCCATCCAATCTTGCTCCAGGTATCTGAATCCTCCAGGGACACTCGGATGAAGTGAAAATGCGAGTCCTGTGGATGTAGTGGTTCCACCAGCTGAAGCCTAAAAGGCACAAAGTGAGAGGTGGTCATTAGAATAGATCTGTTGTGAGAGGTCATATTTAGTATTAGTCAAGTCAGGTGATTTTGAATTGCAGGTTAACAACTGTCCTTCAGTGGGCGTCTGCTGTAGTTCCCTCCCCAGTGTTACTTCTGGGCCCACCCTATTTATGTCTTAGCGCAGGGAGGGACTGCATCCAATGCCCCAGTTCTCCGCATAGATGGCAGGGTCTGCTTGCTGTAGGAGGTCTTTGGGAAGGTCCCGGCGTGTGGGGCGGTTGCTGTGTTGGTGCTTTGAAGGCTGGGGTGGTATCGTCTGCTGCAACCCAATGAGGATGTCTTTGCCCCTTGTCTTGTTCCTCTGCTTCAATGATAACTTTCTTTTCACACACTTCTAGCATGTTGTGCAGGGTTGGCAGTGGCTCCATTGGCAGGCTCAGGATGACGGCCTTGCATTGAACATTTGCATTCAGTACTGCCATCTCCTTCAGGATCCCCTGATGGACCTCTTCTTCTTTCATCTGGAGCTCCACCGCCCTGCGGAGTGTCTCAACAAAATCTATGAAATGCTCTAGAGGAGACTGAACAATTTTTAAATAATTTCAGACAGGCCCTTTTGGTTTTAAATTAAAGAACGCCCTTTCCTCAGCTTTGGCTGACTCCCAGAGCACCCCCTAGGGATTTCAAGCGCCTGTTTGGCACCTTCCTCCCACTCTGCCTCCCCACACAGACGGTCCACTGATAACACACATCCCTCAGTGTCAGTTGCTGTGGCACAGTTATTCCACAATGTGGGAAGGACATTCGGGACCTCCTTCCTCCAGGCTGCCTCCCACAAAATAAATTCAGTGGCCGACAACAGGCAGGAGAAGAGTGACCGGAGATCGGTAGGAGTGAGATCAGAGGAGAGGGTCGCCCTGAGAAGTCCCCAAAAGCATTCATTTTCCCTTGAGAACTCTCTCTGGGCCTTACACAACTCTTTGGTGGTCCGATATGGAAGCGGGGTCCACTGGCCCGCACATCCCCCTCTCGTTGGGGTATAAAGGCCACCGGCGCAGCAGACAGAACTGGCCCTAAATCATGGGAACTTCCTTTCCGGGCCCCTCCCCTCCGGAATGAAAACCAGGGAACCTTAAGGGGGACTGTGGGAACTGGAAGAAGGAGGAGGATGGGAGGGGCCAGGAGAGGGGGTGAGGACACACTACTGAAGATTCCCCCTCAGGAGCGTGACTGGGGGCAGAACTTAAGGGAGTTGTGGGTGGAGTTTGAATAAAGCAGGGGGAACAGGAAGAGGAGGGGTTTATGGGCAGGAAGGGGTTGGAAGAGGAGATGAAGGGATTCTGGGAAGAAGAAGAACAAGTGGTGGGAAAAACCTCGTGGCTCCTGCCATCTTGTATCTTTGGGGAGACATCTTGGAAAGGGACAGGATTGGGAAGGTCAAACCAAACACAGGGCTTGCGGGATGGGGCTGTACATCCTAGGGAAAGAAGGGACTGGGAAATATCCTGAGAAGTTTGGCTGGGACTCCTCAGGCAAAGGGACTGGGAATTCTGAGGGGAGCTGGGGAGTCGGTAGCAGCCCTGTGCCAAATGGCGGGTTGCTCCCTTCAGAATCCCAATTGCAGGGGCAATAGGAGAGGGAGGAGGGCCATAGCAGGAGAACAAGAGGGTAAACTGCCCAACAAAGGCTCATCTCCATTTTCTGATTTGATTTTAGAACTGTACGAATTTGGAGACTCCAAAATGTCAATTTTGCTAACAAGTTACTCCCTGATTTTCCGAAATTAGTTAATTTATTTCCAACGAAATCCCAAAAATGCACATTGGCCACAAGTGCAGGAAAATGGAGGAAGAGCCATTTCACAAGGCTCTTAACTGCCCTTTTATTAACATTACAACTCCCACCCACAAGGACCCCCACAACTTGGAAATAGACTCCTTTCTGAGCAGCGGAGAGCTTTGCACCCATGGCTCGGTTGTTAGAAATCGCAAAGCTCAATTAACCCACCATCCCAGATAAAAGGAGGAAAGAAGAGCAGGAAAATCCTCGAGCTGGTTCCCCCCAGCCAAGAGAAAAAAACACAAAATGCGAAGAGAGTGCCTGGCTATGCAAAAGCCACAAAAGGCACTAGTTTCCCAAAAGCAGGAAAATTAGAAAGGGCAGGGAGGTAGAAAGAAAGAAAGCACTCTCCACTAGGAGAGGCTGAAAACTTACCAAAACTGGCCAGAGGAAAAAGAAAGGTCTAGGACGATGGCTTCTGTTGGGAAGCGACTTCAGAGGTGCCGTCCGAGGCTACTGCTCCCGTCCCCCAGGAGCACCACCCCCTAAAACAGGGCCTGCTTCTACTGGAGGTAGCTTGACACCCAGAAGGACTCACACGAGCAATCCAGAGATAAATCCTCAGGAAAGCCCAAAGTCTCACCTGCGAGGTCCGGTCATATTCCCAGGCCCCACATTGGGTGCCAAACTGCCGTTGTGTCTTCCCCACTGATGGCTCAGCGCTTGCCCAGCTGGACCTGACATAGCAGTCAGCAATGGCCACCCTCCTGTTCCCCTGGGGGTTAGAAGGGAAGCTTTGGGTCTGGCCCGTAGCCATGGGAGAGACTTTAGCAGCGATAACAGAAGAATGAGCCAACTTCTGTAGGGGTTTTCAATCCACGTTTATTGGGAGACTCTGAGGAGCCCCCTAAACCAGGGATAGGAGGGGACCCCGGTGTCTTGTCCTATCACTCGATGCCCTTGATGGAACTTTATAGGTGGAGGGGAAGGGCTGTCGAGTGACAGACAGACCCCATGGGAACGACTCAGCAGGATCTAGGGACAAGGAGTGGAGGAAGGAAAGAATTGACACAGGGATGGGAGGAGCCAAGAGAGGGCAGGACTATTTACAAGGGGGTGCAGGACTAAACCACTTGATAAGACTTAATGGAATGAAACAACTTAGATAACACAAGAGTGTAACATATAATTCTCCAGGGTGGTTTTTCCATGATAGACATTTAAAACTCTCTTCACAACTCCATGTAGCACTCACTTCAAACTAGAGATCCTTATGTTAGATTCTGTACAGTCAAGAAAGGTGTCTCCTTTCTTTTGTTTATTCTAACACAACATAAAAGGCACAGCCCTTGCGTTCTACTGAATCAGCAATGCAGAACAGGCCCTCTAGAACACAGTGACTACGACCGATGATCACTGTGTTTGCTTCATAACAGGCATTTACAGCTGTCAGTGGATCACGGTGAAACTGTATTTCTAGGTCTTTACCACAGTCCGCTACAAGCCCAGCGTCACACCATGTTCTCAGATGTCAGAACGCAGCCTCAGTCAAGACTCAACACATCACACAAAAGAATGCAAGTTATCCTCCTTCTCGTCCTTGTTCCAGTCCTCCAGATGTACTGGTAGAAGAACCTGACATGCTCTACAGCTTGTGCTGTCTGGTAAAACTCTCCTGACTCATCATACACAACCCACAGCTCCCACACTGGTACCTGGTGTCCCTTAAGCTTCAAGGAGCTTCTGTTTTCAGAGCTAAGCACTCTGTATCAGCCACCCCTACAAGAACCTCAAACACATTTGTACGCCAGTTTTCCTGCCATCCACGTGGTGCAAAAACTTTGTCCAGGTACTCAGCTGTGAATTGTGCCACCTCCAAAGTTTTGCAATGTTAAGGAAGAGTTTGGACCTTAGGTTCTGGGCCAGAGTCAGTTTCTTTCAGCTCAAGGTGGTGCCTCTGGAGTGGGATCTCAAACAAAGAAGTCCCTGGACCTTTATACCCCAGAGTCTGTGCACTGATCGTCCAGTGCCCAATGGTGGTTTATGGTCTGGAGTCTTGTAACGCCTCATGGAATTCTTTCTCCATGTCCACATGTGCAGGCCATTAATTGTTCTTATCTTCCATCCTGGGGCCCTTCAGGATCTCAACTCTTATCTGAAGACACCCAGTCTTTCTCTGTTTACTCCCCTGCTTATCTCTCCATGCTAACAAAGTTCACTTAAAGCTCCCTAACACCAAGTTTTGAGCAGGACCCACTCATGCTAAACTGTCAGCAAGTTACAATAAAACTTCACCCTAGACAACTAATTTCTAACATTGTAATCCCCAACATGCAGTCAGCTGAGATGTAATCCTGGTAATCTCTAAATTGCTCATGAAACAAAAGATGGTCAGTGTGAAAAACATCTGGGAAAAGTACATTCCCGCTGGGCACAGTCTTTTCTAAAGCAGTGCCTGGTTTGTCACTCCAGGAGCCATCACTCCACACACTCAGCATATCCCTGGAGCAGATAGATCTAGGCTCTGCCACCTCGGCTGCTCCCGCAGGCCACCGCCTCCCAGAGCTGGTGGCAGCAGCGCCTGACCCCCCTCCCACACCCCTCGGCAACCCCAGCTCAGCAGGAATTCAAATAGGTATTCCCATGAGAAATCCTGCAAGAACCTATGAGCCTCCATGGAGGCCCCTTTCGAGGCAGTGTGGGGGCTGTTCCCTGAAGGATCACAGCTCAGAGAGTTCATTTGCATTGCTCCTTCTAGTGATAGCATCATCTATATAGAGTAAGGTTCTTAAGTCCCCTCTCCGTATCCTTTTTTTTTTCTGGGTAGCTACAGTGAGAGGATCACGACATTTTTGTTTATGTTCTTTCCGCCCAATAACCTCTCCAGTGAAACTGGAGGACGTCTTATGGCTTAAGAACTACATCATCTAAGTTTCTGACTGAACCAGTGAAAAAAAATTGTTAAAGATTCTCCATCTTTGTTAAAAATCTGAGAAACTAGTGATGTCTCCTCATTTGCTTATTTTCAGCAGAAAGCAACTCTCACATCTCACATGTGTGAGAAATGAAACTTGAAAAGTCAAAAAGGAAAAATCTGGACAGATCTTTGCAAAACAATGCAGCTTGAAGTATTTTACTAGAGAGCTGGAAAGAACTGTCTGCAAAACTACCTGACAGGGGAAATGGAGATGAAGAAAGTAACTGCATACAAAGAAAAGGAAAAAAGTGAGGGAATCATTGGCTGGGATCATCAGGAGAGCTACTATTACTTCTACCACCAATCACTTATATTTTTTCCCCACATAGTCCTACTACCATACATCTTTCACAGTCCTAATTCTTTAAAATATCTAGTCTTTTTACAATACCATATTTTAAAACTCGTTGAAACTTGTTTGTAGTTCAATCTCTCTCAACAATATAATCTCTATTCTATAGCCGTCCTAAATCAACACACCTTATCTCAGTGTTTATACGGATGTACAAGATTGTGTGAAATTTCTATCAAGTTTCAAGAATTCTTTACAAATCCATTTCTCACAAGAGCATATACCCAAAGCTTCTAGACAACTGGGAGGCATTGCACCTAGTAGGACACAGAGCAGCCTGCCTGCTGGGGAAATGAGTAACATGGGTGACAGGAGAAATGGTGGAAATCAGTTCAGCAGGTCTCTCCTGGGAAGCCAGGTCACCACTGACACACAGCAATATCTCCAGAGCGAGTGGAAGTTCTGAAGGGATTTAAAAGCACTGTCAGCCTGTATAAAATATGAACGGGATGCTTTTTTTGTCCGAAACAGGAGGCACCAGGGCTGGTGTAACAGGAACAGGCATTGCCTCGATCTTTCCAAGCAGGTCCTGTTATGAACAAAACAGCCTGGCTGGGACACTTCGGCTTGGGCTAAGTACCGGCATTGAAATGTTAAGTAGTCAATTGCTCCTGGGAATCACCTACAACCCCGCCTACACTAGGACCTGGATGCAAAATAATCCAGTGGAATCATGGGAGGGGGTTTTGGGGATGAAAACCACTCCTAAATGGAAAAGATGGGCACAGTGGAGGGGGCTGGATGGGTGTGCTCATTAGGGAAAAGGGAACCCCATCTCTAGTCTGTGTTTAACCTGTCACCATAACCTGCAGAGGACCAGACTGGACTGGGCTGTGGGAAGCAGGAGCAAAAGGACGCTTCTTCCTGGTGCTGCCAGGAGGGAAAGAGGGGAGGACAGTCTGCTGGGACTCCGGATGCGGACTGCACACCTCTTCGCTTCCAGCTGCTGGCGTGCCCTGGGACCCCTGCGGAACTGACTTTTAATAAAGAGCTGACTATTAATAAAGGCATAGACCCTGTTCATTTCAGGTCCGAGGTGTAGATCCATCTTTAGCACATGGAGGGAGCGATTTGCGCTGCAGGCGGGGCCGGGTCGAGCGGAGCTGCTGCCTTGAGCTCCCTTCCCTTGGCCGGGCAGCGGGTGCCTTGTGCCCGGTGCAAGGGCGGGCTTGGCTCGGTCCCCGAGAGCTGCGGGCGCTGCTGCCGTGCCGAGCGGAGCATCCGCGGATGCGGAGCTGAGCCGGCAGCCAGAGCCGGCTCTCCGCGGCCCGCAGCCCGGCCTGCCTCTTCCTCCGGCGGTGGCTGGTACCGGCTGGTGTGACCTGCGTGCCATAGGCGCTGGAAAGCAGCCACTGCTCCCTCCCTCCCGCCCAGCCCCCTTCCTTCCCGTCTGGAGCAAGCCCGTGCTGGGCTGTGCTTGATGCCTCGGGAGCTTTGCTGCTCCTTTCTCAAAGCCGCTCAGCGCCCTGCTGAGCTGCCCAGTCTTTCACACGTTGGCTGTGACGGGAAGGCTGTTTAGAGCTGGATAATGTTTACAAAACCGCAGAAATTAACAGAAACGCAGTGTCCAGGAGCAGGGCTGACGCTACCCTTTTAAAAGAAAAAAAACCCCAAACCCAACAAAACCAGACATGACTCAGCCCTGAACTGGAAGCTGTGAGCTGTCGCCAGTGCAGTGCTGTGCTCTGGCTGGCGACTCTTTTTGAGAGACAAGGTATGTTAGCTCAGGCTCTGTGCATTACCAGCACAACTGCCTGTGGTTTGGAAGAATTTTTTTGGCTGTGATCCCACTGGTTCATAACGGGGACAGAGCTTGCTTGCCTCTGCCTGCTAAAGACAACATGGACTTCTTCTGAGTCTGTATTGTTTCTCTCATAATTACTGTTTGATTAAAGCATTTAAGATATGTTTGTCTTTTTAATTTCGCTGTAGAGTAGGGCAGGAGACCCACTCCTAGTACACATAGTTTCCTTTAAACCCAAGCTGGCAAATTCTGATTACTTCTGAGATAGGAAGCATAATGAATCAGTCCTGAGTGCTTCTGCAGACAAGCACATTCCTGCAGCAGAGCTCACCTAAAAAATCCAGAGGCAGATGGAAAAACAGCTAAGGAGTAATTAAATGTGGCTGTTCCTCAAGAAACTAGCCTGTAGTAGCAGCTCAGCTGAGCCCCATAAGCCAGGTACAGGATACAACTTCACTGTGTTGAGTCTGCAGGCACGGTACACTGAATATAAGAGAAAGTGGTTTTGGGTCGTTGCAGTGTGTTAATGCGCAGATCACCATAGGTTGCTGGAAGTTCTGCTCAGTCTTCAGTGAAGATAGGTGTCTCCCTCACTGCTCTGAGCCTGGATGCTACTCCTCCCTGTAGGAGAGATTAAACAAAGAGCAGTGGGCTACTGGTGCCTGTAAAACAAACCAAAAGGTTTGTTGTAATTGAGTGAACATTTGTGGGCTAACTGTAGCTTGATGTTTGCCGTCGTGTCTTCCCCGCTGATGGCACAGTGCTTGCCCGGCTGGACCTGACACAGCGGTCAGCAAGAGCCACTCTCCTGTTCCCTGGGGGTCAGAAGGGAAGCTTTGGGTTCGGCCCGTAGTCGTGGGAGAGACTTGAGCTAACAGAAGAATGAGCTGACTTCTGTAGGGGTTTCCAATCCAGGTTCATTGGGAGACTCTGAGCAGCCACCTGACAAAAGGACAACCAGCCAACAGAAGCCCCAACCTGCACGGGGCAGCTGTTTTTAACAGGGGGTGTAAACAGGGGGAATGCTCTTTCCATGGACCAATGGGTTAACAACAGGGAGTGGAAACTGGGGAGATTGGCATGGTCGGACACGAATAGGGAAATTGGTAGGAGGGGACCCCAGTGTCTTGTCCTATCACTTGATACGTCTGATGGAACTTTCTAGGTGGAGGGGAAGGGCTGTCGAGTGACAGACAGACCCCAGGGCGGGGCCATGAGAATGACTCAGCAGGATCTAGGGACAAGGGGTGGAGGAAGGAAAGGGTTGGCATAGGGATGGAAGGAGGCAAGAGCAGGCAGGACTACTTACAAGGGTGTGCAGGACTAAACCACTTGATAAGACTTAATGGAACAGAACAATTTAGATAACGCAACAGATGTTGGATTGATAATTATGCTGGCATCAAATGTTAGTGGCTTACAAAATGAGAATAGCACAGTCAGAGCACTCATCACCCCAGCTAATCCACGCAGCGGCTAATTCATGTCTGAATATGGCAGTGTTGGCTCAGCTGGGGGTTTGAAAAACTGAGCAGTGGTGGTAGGCAGGTGACGGGAGGGGTGTGTGGCTGTCAGCACAACAATGGCAAAGCATTCTGTTCTTAGGCACAGATCTGTCTGCCTCAGGCCACCAGCCTCAGGCCTTGGGTTTTATGGCCCTGGGTATCTGATCTGTCTACTAGGAGGCCATGGGGATTAGGGGTGACATGAGCCAAGAAATGAGTTCTTTGTAAGAACTTGTACAGACTAAGATACTCTGTGAGCTAAAAGCAGCCCTGCTGTTTTTACCCAAGCCAGCTAGTGGCTTTATGGAACCAATAATAAATTGCTAAGGAGAGATATTAGTATGTTTTGATTGCAGGAAATAGAGTGAAAACAGGACACAGAAGCACTTAGGCTTGCAGTAGTCCACTAACTCTCTTAGCCTGCCTGGATAAAGTGGTTTGGTTGGCCTCATTGCTGAAGTTAGTGACACAGGCCCTCATTGTTGAAGTTAGTGACCATGAGTTTCCTTTTATAGTGGAAAAGCACTGAAAGAAAGAGTGCCCTCATTATAGTATTTGTTTAATCTCTTCAACCAGGATGATGTGACAAAATAAAAGTAAAAAAGTTTTCAGCAAGATCTGCAGTTGCCAGCCAATGCAGAGAATGTGTTCTCCATGGCAGGTGAAAAGTGTATTGTAGTGGACATTGGCAGGAGGAACAAAGCCCAGATGATACCAAGTTAATGACAATAGGAACCTCTAGTGACAAAGCACTATGCACTGGACCAAACAACAAAAGTCTCCAAATGTTGCACCAGCAGTCAGCAAAGATGGATTTTAAAGTGCTGAATGTTATTTGGGATTTTATTTTAAGGTAGCTCATTGTGATAG